TTTATGATCTCTGGTTTACAGCAGAGTTATTTTTCATCCCTCCCAATATTCATCAACCAGTCATTCTGGGTGCAACAGAACCATGGCTATCACTGGACAAGCAATAATCCAGCAGCGTTCAGAGGAAAAACTTGCTTAATTTGCATTTGAGTACCCTCTTGGTTTTCGTATTGTCTAAGGATCCTTCCTCCAAGTAGCTGCCACACTGTTGCTGTAAGTGAAGCATGGTGTACCCCTGCCACACGGTGAGCTTTGCTGCATGCTTTTCTATGTGCAAGCCAAATGCGTTCAGCCACTGAAACTGTACAGTAAAACTTAGATGATAGGTGGTTGTTTTTACTGTAAAGTTAATAACTAGGATAGGTAAAAGTCCAAATATTTATTGAAATTATCAAAATGAGTAAGTGGGGAGAACACAGCCGGGAAATTGCATTTCTGCTGGAATGCCTCATGCATTTAACTTTGGATACAGTTTTTAAAGTACCTAAATAAAGCAAAAGCCCAAATTCTTAATGAGACTGATGTTCCCAGCTCATTAATTTCAATAGGATTTTGTTACCTGACTTCCTTACCTAAGGCTGACATCTGTGAATCTGATTTCTCATTTCGTGTGTGCTTCTAAGTGCCTACATCCTGTTAATTTTCAGTAATATTCAGCCACATAAGTCCTTGAGACACTACTGAAAATCAGACTTGGGGGCTATTGACAAGTGGGCTAATCTTCCTTGGCTCCCTCTGTAGTCCCAAGGGGGATGAGCAGGATCATGCTGGATGCTCTGAGACAGCCCTTGCAGGAGCCCATTGACTAGGGAATCGGAGAAGACTGGGCTGCTGGTCCAAAGCTTGCCCTTGTAAGCACCTCCTGTGGGCTCCTGATGGAGCTGACATGCTTTCCCTGGTGCATCCAGGTGTGACAGAGTACCTTGCTGCACTGTGGCTGCCACACTATTAATAATGGAAAGGAAAAGGTTTTTGAAGGGGCAACAGTTGAAAATTCCAGCTTTTATATGTTGTGCCAAAATAGGGTTTCTCTAGGAGAGAGGGTTTTCCCTGCGTTCCAGTTAGTGTTTCCCTGAGAAATCTACTGCCTGTTGAGGTGTTTTAAACTTATCCCTGCCCCAGATCATGCAGAATTCGGCCATCAGTACCGAATTAATGTGAGTGACTACTGATCTTCCCAGCCAGGTCACCCTTCCAGCAGCAAAATGGCACCTTGTTCTGGAATACTGGTGGGCCTTGGAGAATTTGGTTCCCGGGCCTGTGTTCCTTCTGTCCCAGGCAGGGTAACCCCGTTTGACTAACTCTCTCCATGGTAAGCAGAGTGTTTACTGGCTTGTATCTGTCTCAGCTTTGACACTCTAACAAAAGGTTAGAAATCATGAATGCATCTCTTTATTTCTGCTCCACAGTGCCTCTCTTTTTTTTCTGTGTAAACCCTTCACTTGCCTCTTGCCCAGCCTTTAGAAATGATCAAATGCGAACTTTCAGGGTTTATTTATAGCATAGCCTTTATGGAAAGAGAGAAAAGAAATGATTAAAAAGCAATTTTACAAAATATTTTGTTTTAAGAGAGAATTCATTGTGTTTAAATCACTGTATTCATTGTACTGTCTAGACTGGCAAACAAAGAAGATAGAGTGTCATTCAAATTAAAATTGTGAAATTTTTGGTGATTGGAGTTATGGATTTGGATGTCAACCCTCAAACAAACTATTTCTGAACAGCAGTATTATCAGTTTGCTATATTTAAGGCTTTGTTGGAGACAGAACAGTGCACAAGGTTGATCTGATTCAGTAATGCGATTCTAATGTTCCTTTGTTTCCGATTTCATTATAAATTCATATTTTCAATGTTCTGTTCCTCTTTGTCCCCAGAAAATTGTTGAAAAGACTTTCCTCTGGGAATAAAGTTTTTGTTCAAACTAACAATGACCAAACTGACTTTAAAAACAAAAAACCACACAACCGAAATGCAAATTAAGAGAAGGAATTCATTTGGGATATTTTGAGCAACCTAGAATGAGTGAGTTGCTGAAAATTGCTGTCTGTGTACTTTTTTAACATGTTATTCCACATTACCGTGGTAGTTGCTGTGGATTCTCAAAGACCCGTCTATTTCCAGTAGATTTAAAAATACAAAAGTATTTACTTGGTAAACTGTAAAGACTGCTCTGGCATCTTCCTCCTTAGCGAAACGTGGATAGATGGGTGAACCAGGAGAAGAAGATAAGCAGCAGCCAGGCCCCGTTTCCTAGTTCAGATCAGGGCTTGAGCGGCCCGTTTTCCTTGAGTGACCTCTCAGCCTGTCCTGCTCCCAGCGCCATCGTGGAATCATAGGATCATTTAGGTTGGAAAAGACCCTTCAGATCATTGAGTCCACTATAAACTGGGAGCAGTGGCTCCCTGCCCAGCTGCCCATCAAAGCATGGGGCCTCTGTGCCAGGGCTTTCGGGTTTGAGAAGACTTCACAGGGGGTCTAGGAGGCTTTCCTCAGCTCTCTGGAGACTTTCACCCTTTGAAGACCAGAGCTGCAAAGTGCTTGGTCTGAGCCAGCCTGAGGAGACCTGTAGTTAGAGGAGTAACAGCATAAAAATAAAACCTGTCTGGAGATATGCTTATCTCAAAAGGCTGGCTTATTTCCCATGGTAGCAGAAATGCGTTTTTCTGAACTGGAAGTTGTAAGAGGCCCCAGAGTAAAGCAGAACGTGAGTGTGCAGAGCATTTATGGCAGAAGCAGAAGAGGTCCTGGGAACAGTGCTGTTCGTGTCCTGTTCTCTTAATGCTGCCTAGAACGGGGCAGCAGCAGCCAGGCCCTGCCTATGCACGGAGGGGGTCAGTAGCAAAGTTGGGCTCTCCCTTTCATTTTTGTTGCACCTGTGAAGAAAAGTGGGTCTGTCTGGGGTGGTCAGACCCTTTAGATGTCTTGGTTCTATTTTTGTGCAGTATCTCCAGGGGAGTTCAAAAGGAGGTGTAAAGCAGGGAGCAGAAAGCGAGGTGACTCTTCCCATTAGCGGGGGCGTTTTGAGCGGTTTTGCCTTTGCCTTGAATTTTCAGTAAGACGTGGAGCTATGTGGAAAAGCAGTATTGATTGTAACAGAGGGAATTGCCTTTTTCTCTGTGTGTTCATTCATGTTTTGGGGTAGCCTCTAAATCCAGCTGGCCATGTAAGGGAGTTGTAAAAGACAGACTATTGTAAACAGAACAATGCTTGAGCTAGTATCGCTGTTAAAGAACAGGGAATAAATGCCCACCTCTCGTACTGGGAAAGAGACCAACCTTTCCATGCCAGTATTTTAATCTGGCTGGTGCGCAGAGTGTCTGTGCCAGCAGGCTCACATGTCCCAGAGAAAAGAACACACTATCTTGCTGGAAGTGTTATTTCAAGGGTGTTTCTTGGGAAATCAAAGTCCAATCAACTTCTACACGTATGAAAGAGTAGAGGCATATGAGTGCACAGAAACACTCCCTGCTGGTTTATCAGAGGCCCTAGCAAAGTAAAATCCTGACTGCACCATCACTGTCAGTGCTTTTTACTTTGGTAGAGCCACGGTTTCATCCAGTATTATGTGTTGATGCTGAAGGATGAAGCAACCATGCCCAGAACGTGCCAGGTACTACCGCAGGTTCAGCCAGCCAGGCCGAGCTGGGGGCTGCCGGCTGCTCTGGCACACAGCTGGCATCCCAGGCAATTTGTGCCTAGCTAAGCAAACTTTGGTGTCCATGGGAGAAAGAGGATCTGCTGGCTTCATGGGCAACCCACTTCCATCCTGGCATTTAGATCATGATCATATTTCTTGAACACAGGGGAAATGGGAAACCAGAAGAGGTAAGGTCGGCCGGTCATCTTGCTTATCCTCAGAGCCTCCCTGCCTGTCCTGGTGAAACTGTGCTTACATTCCTCATCTACATTGTAAAGTTCTAGGAGATCCTCAGCTGTAAAATGCTGGATTAGTGGAAAGCGAATATTTTACTACAGCAGATATTACAGCCCATAAAATCATCTAGCCCTTTAAAAAATCTAGCCATAGTATTTGACCAGTTGGCTTCCACCAGCAGCGCAGGCTGACTGTGCTCCAGGGATCATTCTGATGCTCTCACGGTGCTGTGCTGTAGGCACCAACATTAAAACATTAAAACAGATTTAGGGTCCTGCTTAGAAACTGTGAACGCTGATACAGACTTAGACACTGATTCTTGAATCCTGATCTTTCATGTTTAATGCTGTTGATCTGAAGGCTATTGCTTTAATGCTCCTTGTGAAATGACTTCCACTGAAATTAGCCTGTGCCTGCTGCCTCCACCTCTGCCCGAGAGCTTGATCCTCTGTTAACATCGGTGATTAGTGTCTTATTCCAGTGGGACTGCTCAGGAGGATCCACAGAAAATCACAATCTCACAGAGATCAGGAAAGGAACCAAATTATTCAGTCCTCTCCCTTCCACACGTGGCTCTGTCCCAGCGACTCCTTCTGCAGAGATCCCTTGGTCTGACTTTGCTTTGTCCAAAAGCAGAGTAGGATCAAAGTCTCTTACACCTTTATAGTGGAATGTGAGGGCAGCTGTAGCCTCTGTAACAGAACTTTTCAAGTTACACTTAGCTTCTGGAGTGCACTGGAGTCCTCCCTTGTTGCAAGGAATTGGTACTTTAAGAGTATGATTAAAGGATCTCATGTAAAGTATCATTTTATTTGAGAAATCTTCCCTCCGGGGATGCTGTGTTCAACATTTCCTTTGGTTAGTGTAAATAATAAAAGATAAGTCTGTTCTGCCTTGGACTCCCAGTAAGAAAGAGGAACAGATTTTGGTTTAGTGAGGGGTCTGCAGTACTTTGTTCTCATGACTACTATATAATGGGATTGAACATATTTTATGCCATCTGGCCTGTTCAGTCGAAACAAAATACATCAGTAATGTTCCGATTGGTTTTGAAACATCTTGTTCTTGTCAAAAAGTATTTTAAATCAAACCAGGCTTTTCCAGTTTGTGTTTGTCTTTTACTAGGAGGCCATGTCAAAAATGGGGAAAATTGGGAGAGTCGTGCAGCCGAACCATGAGCATAAGAGGTAATCCAACTTTTGTGCATTAATTTACTGAAAATGAAGTTAGAAGTTTGTCTCTTTATAGTACTGCCCGAATGTAGTAGTATTTATCACTCAGATTTTTTAAGGATTATATGGGCATC